ATAACATACAAATTCATAGAAATGCACTGAACAAATATAAGGATATAGGGGTTATGGATTTATGACGTAATGTATCTTACACTAGATATTAGTGTAAGAATAATTTAGAATGAAGTTTAAGATTAAAAACTGCACACATAACCATTTATTTCCTTAAGTTATTAAATAAATAATAATAATTAAATAAATAATAACCTAGTATACAGGTTTATAGCTATTCTAAATCAAATTGAAATTTGAAACAAGATATTAACGTGTGATTTATTTGGAGAAGAAGTTTAAGATCTAATCATAAATAAAATTTCTGTTAGAATCCAAGACACTACTATAATTACTGAATTTATAAATAAAAGTTTTATCACAACTGTTGTGTAGGATTCTACAATGTCAGCACAAGTTTTTCTGAAACTAACTTAGAGCAGTTAGACGCTGCGGACGGACAGACGGAGAAACTCACTTAATCACAATTCAGTACAAGACAATGCAAGCACCAATCTTCAAATTTACTATATATACATCAATTTATCTTGTTTTTTTTAAACTAAAACTTTAGATTTGTTAAGGTTATAACCTGACTCTAACCTGACTCTAGGTGCCAGACTCTACCTAGATCGCCTTATATTCACATTGTTTACAAAAGACATATATAGTTTCTAATCATTTTAGAACTTTGACATTATTATAAGTAATTGGTGTATTAGATGTACATATATTTATACACATATATTCTTCTTCTTTATGTGAACAAACGCGAGTTAATGTCTAAAGCACTTTTCCTCGATAGTATCCGTGATAAGTTGGATGATTCATTGTAATAAGAGCTCCGTGGAATGCTGATAATAAGCTATTCAGATAATTTTATAGAAGTAGATATACTTTGAAGCCCAGCGAATCTTCCTAACGGAATAAATATTGCATTAAATTTAAGAGAGTGCAATTCTAAATTAGTGTGTATACATAAGTACTGGTAACCTCGTGAAGGTGACTTCAAAGACCACACAAACTATTTTCAATGTTGATTATCATCATTATGATGCTGATCAAAATGATTTTTTAATATTTGTCAGTCTGTTTGTCAATCTATATGATAACTATTGGCTACCCTTACTAACATAGCTTAAGGATAAGACTTTGCATACGGATTTTTCTATATCCAGAAGTTTAAATATTAATAAAATAAGTTGGCTCAAGCATTTAGAGTGACTGCCTCAATAACATTATGCAGAATGTTTTCTAGGAATAATCTGAATAATTTTTGAGATTCAAAAGAAAAAAATTTTTATTATTCATTAACATACTGGGTGTTAAACACTAGATCTATGGTAAGTACATTGCTATTTTAAAGAATCTGGAATATCTTAAAAACGTTTTTAGATATGCAATAAAGATATCTGATTTTAACGCTTAACATGTCTTCATTTAGATGAATTTGGATATTAAGCCGGTTCCAGAGTGTTCTTTTTAGAAAATTTTCTATATAATATATAAAAATATTTGTATAATTATTACTTGTTACCTAGTGGGATATCTAACGGGTCACCATGGGCTACGTAACCATCTCAACAAAATGGGCCTATCCGAAGAGATAGATTGTAGACTCTGCTTGGAGGCAGAGGAGGAGATCACTGGGTCGGGAAGTGCTAGCACCTTCCGACATTAGAAGGTCTTCAACAACATTTTGGCCTTCATTCGAAAGGCGGAATGTCTTTTGTTCAGTTAGGGTGTTTTGTAGCAAAAAAGATCAATCATGGTCGCGGTGCTCTGGTCAAATGGGAGCTAGTACCCTGTTCTTTCTTATTATTATCTTATTATACTTGTTACCTTTTTATATGCATTATTTGAAGTAAATCTTGTGATCTTGTAAAAGAGTTCTATAATCGGCCTCTAAAGATAGCCTAAATATTGAATTTTTTGACAAAAACATATAAATTCGCCGGAGCATATGAGTAAGAACACATACATTTCTGTTTTATCGAAAAAAGCTAAATTCCTTGTTTTTAATTAAATTTAATTGTTTTTCTAATCTGGTTTGTTAAGATAAAATAAGTATTTATATTTAATTAGAAAATACTTAAAAAATTTACTTCCATATTGACAAATAAAATTTAACAACTACGATTAGGTTCGGAAACTATATTTAAGAAATAACCCGTTGAAATACAGATTATAGTAGGAAGAAGTAGACTGGTTAAAAATATTAATGCAAACATTAAAAGATATAACTGATTCGCTAAAAATTATAAGAGACTGATTATAAGAGAGTGATATTGTTTTAGCGACACCAATACTTGTTTTAAAATTTTCTGACCACGAATATGGAACCATTCTAGGTGGTTAAAATTTTGTTTATGCCATTTAAAGATACTACGCTATATCGTACCGTATCTTCAAAGGAAGAATATGCTATAGAAAGGGATTTGAAGAATTTTATACTTATTGGGAATTATTCAAAGACTGATGCTATATAAAAAGACGACGATATGTAAGGTCCCATTAGAGACCTTACATCTGTGGTCAATCAACATCGTTAAAAACGTAAATATATACATCGCAAAATATTGGTTTTATAAATTTAATATCTACAGTACATTTAACTCATTGCCAATGTACATATATGAAATTTTAAATTTCATTAATTAAAATGTAAGCTTGATGCTATAATTATTAAGTCATTCAGAAGTTAAAGTATCATAATACATATATATGCACAATTATACTAAGTTGATATAAATACATAAAACAATTTTAAATTGCACTTTAATTACTTTTAACAATCTAAGTAACTTCGTTTCGATCTCGCAGATAATTAACCACATATTTAAAAAATAGTTGCTAAAACCAGGTGTGAGTACTATATACTCTACAACTGATTTTAACATTAATTTACATGGATTATCGAAAGTAAACAATTGTTATAAATTAACATAAAAAATTAATTTTACTAAACATTAAGTTATTTCATAGATGACTTCTTAAATGCTGTGAGAATACATATTGGACATGAACGATATTTATGAAAGTAAATCAACAGAAGTAGTGTAATATGTTGACAGGGTATGAGCAAATACAAATTAAAAGTTGTAACTAACATTAGATATTCTAGTTGCTATTTTAGTATCAAAGGATTTTATTTAATATAAACAAGAAAAAAATGAACCATCAATTAACTTCTTTCAATAGTTAATTATATATATCAGACCCTATCTTATTAATTTATATAAAGAATTAAAAACAAGCAATTGATAATAGCTTATAGCTTATATATGCGATACTGGACTTGGAAATATAAATAGCAGAAAGTTATTTGGGAACTTACTAACCACTTAAAAGTAAAAGAACAAGTCTATATAATAGCCTAGAAGAGAGACAAAAATAATAATATTTTCTGAGATTAGAACCAGGGATAATTGAGTAGCATAGCATATGTTAGCACAAACGGGTAACAATTTTGGGGTAAAAAATATGTGATCTCATTGTGTTTAAAACTGCTCAATTTTTAAACAATTTTTGATATTGAACTTATAGGTTTTGTAAATGATAAACTTGTGTTCTTAGATTTCGTCAAATCTTCTTTATATTAAGAATAAATAATATTCTACTTACACTCTAAGCTGATATATGTGAGAGAAAGCTCAATTGTCTAAAAAAAGCTTTTTAAAAACTGTGCATAATTTTTATATTTAATATCTGTATTTAAATAATTCAGTCATCAGAGGATCAGAGGATATAAAAAACTTGATGTAGCTTATATAATTTTCAATAATATAGTCAGCTGCTTATATGAACACTTTAGGGGCCTTCTTCTCTGAGGACCTCGTTAAATTACAAAATTTTCCACTAAATAGCATTCTAAGCTTTGCCAAAGGTGCCCAAGTGATCTAACTTAATAATCTAACTTAACCTATATGAAAACTTAATACTTAAAGTAGCTAAGGCATAGGTTAATAATAGATATTGATTTAATAGCCAACAGTAACTTCATGATGAATCGGTCAACGTTATAATAAGGTTCAATAAAGAATTTAGTTTTACCCACAGCGATGATTATAGAATTATTACGGAATATTAAAATTTTTCTTCAAAACAATCACAACGTCTTTGGTCTAATGTGTAGAATTTAAGTTCTCAGTTCTATACCTGTTTAATTTATTACTATATAAGAGAATATAATATTCTTTTATTATACAGACGATCTTTTCCCGTATTTTCGAAGACTTTTGGCCTTCCAGAACAGTCTTATTAAAACTAATGTATGATGACGTTTGAAGGTAGCTATCCAGCATGTTTTAATGCAGAGTATATTTCATATAATGTATATACCATATAATTAAAAAAAAATGATTTATACTTTTGATCGGCGAATGAAAAAATATTTTAAAATTAATTTGAGAGCAAAAAAAGATGATAATTTTCAAGATTGCATTTGAATGCAATTTTCTTAAAATCGAGAATGTAATACAATGTTTGTATTGCTTACTTAGTAAGTTAGTTAAGTATTAAGATTTTATCGTTTCCACTTTTATGTGTCAGAAAGTTCTTTGAAAGTTTTAGGAGGGCTTCAGTTTGGTTAGAAAAATTTCAGAAAATCATTTATATATATACACATATATGTATATATATTTTATAAATATATTACGTATTTAATTAATAAAAGCAAATATTTTATTAAATACTCATTACATTTACTAAGTGAGCAGTGGAAACACGTTTCATGCTAGGGTGTAAAATGTTTGGCATATATTATGAAAGCATTATTATATTAATATACAATTTTAATATATATATATATTATAAACAATTATTTCATTTATTTGAAGTGTAACAAATAAACCTCTTAGAATGTATAGCTGAGATAGTAGTTAATAATATAAGATAATATATATAAGATAATGTTTTTTTAAATCAATATTCAAATAAAAAGCTTATCAATTTACTTATTAAAATATTAGAACATATAAGAGTAATATGATATATACGGTACAAGTTAAGCACTTATATACCTGACTATTCTCGTAGCTTGTAAAGTAATTGAGTTCTTTTTTTATATTCTATTTTTATTAATTGTATGTTTTTTATTGGAAATGTGTACGTTACAGAACGGTTGAAAATGGGCACCCACAGTAAAAGATATCTGAAATATATTAGATTAAATAATAAATTTTTATTAATGCATATATAAACATAATAAAAATTATAGTCTTCAAAGCAATAAAAAATATGTAAACATATTTATAATATATACAATGTGATATTTATATAATTAGATCATTTAGTCTGTTTTTGATATTATTTACTTACAACACTGGAAGTGTAAATTATGCAGAATTGAACTACAATCAACTTTAAATTGCTCTAACTATCCAACAGGGGCCAATAGTTAGTCCATATGTGGCTGAATGCTATCTGATATTCTTTCAATTATTTGGAAATATTTTGTCGTTAACAAAAATCAGACCAAAAAGTATGATAAAAAAATAGTATGTAGCTTGGTCTGCTCCAAAACGAGCTCAAAGTGCACCAAACATTTCACAGAGAGGGAGTAGATGCTCAGGAGAATTTTGTAACATTACACATAACAAGAGCTAATTGACAATAACTGAGAGACAATACAGTATTTCGAGCGCTCAGTTACCACTACAGTCACCAGACAGAAACCTTTTGGCAAGGCGCATTTTACAGGCCAGGGTTTATAGGTCAACAGAATATTGATGTAGTCTTTCTTGGTCAATTTTTCGGTGATTCAGATTGATGTAGCACATGACCCGTTTGTCAACCGACTTAGAGCTACCTTTTAAAAATTTACTATTTATTTAAACGGTGCTTTTTCAAATGTTTAATTGTTTTTTTCTAATGATCCATTTAGAGAAATTCAATGTGACTCTCTACTGAGGCATTAAACAATCACATGTAATAGTAATAATTACCGTAAACAGGCATTTTTCACTAGAATTGCGTTAGTATGTTAAGTTCTATTTTTTTATACTTCTATTAGGTAAAATCATGAGATAAATAATGTCTCTACAAAAGAACAGTATTGAAATTAAGCATTTGAAAAAAAAAAAATATATAACAACAGCAAGTATTGAAATTTCACAGCAAACAACAAAACTCCAAGTCACAACATACGAGTCAAGTGGCATCAGTTGGCTAATGAATACTGACTCTGAGCCTCAAATTTAGCAGGGTACGAATTCAATCCTTTGTACATGCAGTCTCAAAAAATTATTTACGAATAATAAAAGTTGAGAAATAATTCCAAGACCACTGATAATGGGTATTTGGCAATTCTGGAAACAGCTTTATGGCCAGTCAAAAATTCAATTAATTTAAAATAAATAAAAATTTTTGTTCTTGCAATTTAGTACTGTTCGAAACCTCTCTATTAGTATTTCATCAACCAATCGTTTCTTGCAGATAATTTTCCTATAAGACTATTGTATTATTATTATTATTGTGTTATCTGAACGTGTCTGAATGGTGTCTGATATTTTAGGATAGCAATGTGCTGGAATCTAAATTAATGGACGTCGTTTGCTTCATATTTTTTCTATTCTAGCAACTATTTCTATTGTGAATTCTACGAATGTAAAAAATTTCGCAAACTATATCTATGTATGAGCATATAAACATCCTTCTACAATATTGTATTACATTGAACCATGAAATACTTTTTGAAAACTTTAATTTAACTTTATGTGTTGGAAAACACAAAAATAGTTTAAAAATCTGATATTGATCTATTAAGAGTGTTCTATATCATAAAGCCTATATAATTTATTTCTTGTTTTTGAAAAATCTGAATAAATATAAGTGGACTCACTGCTATTCGACAACCTAAAAATATAGTCAGGCTTAGCGGGGTTTAGGATTTTGTATTCATTATTGGGAATTTTGTTTGTGGTTATGTGGTCAATAAATGTCAGTATGTCAGTAGTTCATGGTATAATTGTTGAACTTTTTCTTTTTCTATTATCCTCTATTACTTCTGTTATTATCGAATTGTATTGCGTGCTTTTCGGCTCATGTCATTTTAAGAGTAATTTGCTGCTTGCAATGCGGCTTCGACAGTCCCTCGCCATGGTGTAGCAGGCCTTCTTTGCAGGATCTGCAAAGGGTCTGACCGAACTAATGCCATTTGTGCATGCATACTTGTTCTGAGTTTGGCATTTGGTTGGTGACACCCAAACCTGATTGCTGATAAGAATTGGTTGAGAATCTTACGTAAGCATTTGTTGGAAAAACTGAGGTAGTGCATTTCCACGTCTCACTTCCATAAAAGAGCACTGATTTGATGTTGGAATTATAGATGCGTAGTTTTTTTTAACAAAGATATGTTGAAATTTCCAGATAGAACGTAGCATGCCAAATTAAGCCTTAGCTCTGTTTATGCGCATCAAGATGTTCTCATCAGTCCCATCCATAGTTGTGATTATGTTACCAAGGTAGTTGAAAGTGAAAACTATATATTCGATGTTCAGTTGGTTTAAATTTAAATTAATACTCAGGGTAGGGTTGGTGGCACCGGCCATACTCTAGTTTTCTTTGTGCTGATAATTGTTGAGCAATCCTGATTTTTTTGCTCTCTCTCTTAGCAGGAGTTAAATCTGACAGAAGATATGTTGAGAAGTTTGGAAGGCAAATAGTTTAATCGGAAGAAAGTTCAGCATTGCGTAAAAAGCTTTCGATTGCACAGTTCTTAAGTCTCCCTTAGAAGACCAGTCATCGAAACAATAGAACAACAGATGCAAATAAGTCCAATTACAGCCATGTGAACTTAATGCAGAGAAGTGCATTATTAAAGAAGAAGTAGTAACAGATTTCCGATAATGTCATAGTTCAGAAAGGTTCAAATTTACACGCAAGAAAAAAGGAAAGGCTCAGAAAAAGAAGAATTATTTTTTGTCTTTCTTGTCTTTTAATTTTGCAAAAATGTTTATTTTAAAAAATAAACAATTTAAAGGTCATTATCTTTACTCAGCGATTTCATTAGCAACAAATGCCCTGAAGTTTCGAATTTTTTTTATTTTATCAAAAAATTTAACAAAAAGCAATCAACAATATAATTCGCAAATTATATTCAAAAATTGATGAGATATTAAAAACTATTTTTTCAGACTTGGCTATTAATTAACTTGTAGTATACTTAAAGTAATCTTAAAAATTGTATTAATTAATTTAATAAAACAATGAAAATAATCTAAACAGAAGTAAATAAAATGAATAGCGTTTTCTTATCAATTATTTGTATATACCTAACCCAAATCTATTAAAGCAGTACGTTTCCAGAACGTTGTACGCAACAGTGCGGTAAGGCACCACATTATAGATATAGTATAGCATATAAACATATATGTCTGTACAATTAATTTCTATATGTATATACACAATCATTTGTGGAATAAATTGTCTGCCCGTAGAACGTTATTCAAAAGGTTATTCGAAAGCAAGTGTAATTCAAGAATCACTACTTATTTTCGTGTTCTATTCGCTTTTGGAATTCGCTGGTTGCAAATTGCTTAAAATCCAAAATACGCAGTTCTACGGATATATTTCTACGGTAAATATTTGCCATAAAATAGCAATGTATATATTCGCATATGATAGACTAAACTATATATAAGTTTTTTTTAGTATTGTAAGTAATAAAATTTTGACGATTAAATTTAAGTAAAAAATGATTTATGCACAATTAAGTCTGCAAATCTACACCAAATACTTCAAATTTCATTGGCGCTGAAGGGAAGAGCCCACTCAAATTATCTATAAAGTAGTTTATTGAACTTGAAACTGAACAATTATTGATTTTAAATACAAAGATTAGACATTCTTAGAATGTTTTATTATCATTTTTGAAGTACAAACAATGGATTGGTTATTATTACATATGAAAATTTATATAGCGATAAATATTTTAAATATAGGAGTATATAGTTTATAGCTTTAGTTCGCATATTATGAAGAGTGTGTATAGAATTTGCTATAACGAGTGTATATATACAGTTATATAGTCGTTAGAAATGCTAAATACTGCTAATAAAGCAGTATTTCTCAACCGTTTTTTTGTTATAAGCTTCATTTAATTCCAAGTATTTATTGTTCCAAGAATTAATTTTCAACTTAATATATGAAATTCTAATGTCAATCTACGTAACACATACAAGAAGTATGCGGAAATACCATACAAGCAGTTCAGTTGTATCCAAACATCTGGTGAAGTCGAAACTTTTACAGCTGTCATTTAAAATTTGCTAGATATGCTAAATTAAATTGATTTTGTTCTGTCGTTACCACCTGTTGTAAAGTCAAGTAATTATTAAACCAGCTAGTATGTGGGACTGAATTCACGACCATTAGACTGAATGGCCGCCAATTGCCGCAAGCTGAAAACGCCATATATCTAGGTGTATATTTTGACCGTCCTCTAAATTGGCGTCACCACATCTTTACAAAACGGAAACAGTTAGGACTAAAGCTACGCTCACTTTACTAGCTACTTAATCCCAAATCCAAGTTATCACTACAAAATAAAATATTCGTCTTAAAGCCAATGTGGACATACGGTATACCCATCTGGGGTATAGCAGCGTAGTCAAATCTAGATATGTTTCAGAGGTTTCAATCAAAAATATTACGTATCTGCGCCGACGCCCCATGGTTTATACCGAATGACGTCCTACATCATGATCTTGGCATCTCTACAGTGTACGGGTCAATACAGCAGATAAGCAGCAACATCACTCACGACTGGTAGTTCACCCTAACCCCCTTGCCGCAGGCCTAACGAGGGATACTTTTAACATTCGTACGCTTCGCAACTTCTGATTTGCTGAGTAGATTCTAGAAACTGTAATTCTTCATAAGGCGGTGATTATCACTGGGTAGTCCCATACATGCCAGTCAAATATTGTTATTGCCATAAGTAGTACTTAGGTTATATTCATGCATAGAGTAGATTGTAAATAATAAAATTAAGTTTAAAAAAAAAGTATGTGGGATTCTAATGTCAAAACATGTTACATATATAAGAAGCCTTCGGAAAGACAATCGGTTCAGTTGTATCTATCAACTTTCTTATAAATAATTTGTTTTTTGCTCGTATAGTACTCTATTAAGTCGTAAAGTTTGT